GATACACAGGTCTATGAGTTGTAAGCAATCCCAATGACTTGTGAGCACACTGGATATCAAAGTAATATAAGTGATCAGAAGGTAAGTTCAATATCTCTAGTGTTAACATAAACCTCATCCAGGTCAAATTTGTTTTCGAATGTAACAGGTCAAATTTGTCTAAGTCCCAATAGAACTCAATGGGGATTACAAATGAGGAATTTTAAGGTGCATGTAAGAAATGCGTGATCATGGCCAACTACAATAATGTGAATACATGAAGTTAATGTAAGTTCATAAAGAAAACTTCATCACTCTTGAAATAGCCTTATACTCAAACCCTGGTAGATAGGAACCAAGGAACGAAGTATTTTTTTTATGCAAATCTACTATGAAGCTCAAAACTGAAGCAAGGTCATTGTCAGATAAAGCTAGATATAAACCTGATTCTGAATAGCATAGTTCAAGTTCATCATATTCACGGAGTGAATCTTCATGAAGATTACTCATCTCAAACATGAATGCCAAGCTTTCCTGAACATCATTAAGGAAAGGAAGTCAAATAGAGTAACAGTGCCACTGAAAAAAGTGGTTACAACTGGCAAACATCACTGTGGTTGCATTATTGTACCTTCAGAATGAAGAAGTTGCAGAAGTTCCATATTGGAGTGAACCGTTGCTCACTTAACCTCCGTATTTCCTCTTCATAAAACTGAACCCGCCTATCCAAAGTGTTTCTGATGCAGTCCACCATTTTAGAGTCAAAATCATCCCAGAATTCCTTGTCTGATCCATGGAGATCAAACTTGCAGCATCTATGTCAGAAAATGAGCAATTTTTACACTGTTACTACTCACATTGTTTGTAGTAACGTTTTACCCAAAAGTCCATAGAGAATTCAAAAGTGGAAATAAGCTCATGAAAGAAAACATAACTGCAAAATAACAGCAAACGAAAAGCTGGGTTGGAACAACTGGAAAGTTTTAACACATGCATTTTTTCCCAAACAAATACTATCGTGAAGAAGTCATAACAAATACCTTTCTCTCTTTTTGGTGTTGAAATCAGCCTCTAGCCTAGCATATACTTTCTTTGCCATCTTAGTTGCTTGATCATTGCTAGGATGGGCCTTCGACACAAACACAATGAACCATTCTCGCTCATCGTTTTGAACAATTAATTTGAGGCGAGGCTTAAGAATAGTCTTGAATTCATCAAGATCCTGCACATTTTTTATATAAATAAATAAATGAATGAATGGCAAAGTCATCCACATGGTCCATTTCACAAGTTCTGTTGCTTGAAAACGAATCAAAAGGATTAGCATACAGTAGGATCAAGGGGGGGATGTGGGTGGCGAGTACCTCACAAGTAACAAGAACAACAGTCGCATATGGCTCCCGGAACCAGAACAAGTATTGTTCTTGTGGGAATCGACTCCGTAGTCTTGAATCAGTAGTTTGTATAAACTCAGCTGGTAGATTGTCAACAAAAACAGGGTTCCTTGCCTTGTTGTTGAGACAGGCCTTCTTCACTGGCACTCGTCGTTCAAAACTTTCCTTGACATTTAGCCACAAGTCACTAACATCTTCAACTGTTACAAAAGGCAAAACAACATGTGAGAAGGAAATTTTTGTACAAATATACAAACTTGAAACCACTTCCATTGACAGCAAAGAAATAAAAAAAAAAGTATATAAGTCTACTTCAATTGTTATCCAAATTTACCCCTAGAGGGTTATTAGTCCATCCATGCTAGCTACCCATGCACACAGGTTGCAGCGCAGTAAGGCCAGCGAGTGCAGGCTCTTCCATACTGTCAGAGCCTCTGTTCCCGAAGCAAAGGAGGTGATGGAACAGCATATTGCTAGTGATTTTCCATGAGTACTTTCAGAGTAACATTGTAACTCGTCATGCAGGAAGAAGATTGAGCTACCAAAATGGCAAATCGAGATCTTTCACTGTTCATTCGTTAAGCAATCTGAAACTAGTGAAAGCAAAGAAAAGAAAAGCTTAACAAGTCTGAAACTATCACTATAGGCACTTAGATGCAAACCAGCAGACACTCAGCTACACAACAATACAAAGACAAGGCACAGTAACACCTTTCCTGGACGAATCTAGGCTCGTTCGGATCCTTCCAGATCACACAGCAGCGAGATCAGGCGGACCAAGCTACCCAGATCGCGCCCCAGCAGCGACGCGTGAGTCGCGGCCAGCGCAGTTCAGATCCTTGGGGCTAGAATTAGGTTTTTGCAATTTAAAGGGGAGGCGGCAGGTTGGTACCGGCGATGACGATGCGGTCGCAGGTGGACTTGATGGTCTGGAACTGCGCGAGGTAGTTCGCCATGGCCGCCGGCCGAAGCAGCGGCGGCGGCGTAGGCGGAAAGTGATGGGCTCCGCGCCGGTACTAGTGCCCCATGCGGCCGCTACAGCTCCTGGGAGGTCGCCGGATGCGCGGGCGAGGCGCGGGGTCCCCGAGATGCGGAGGCGACGGGGAGTAGCGGGGGAGTCTGCTGAAGACGAAGGCGCTAAACGGGTCGGGTGCGCAGGAGTTACGGTTACGGACTGAGAATACTGACAAGATGGACCCTCTGTTTGGGTGAACTGTCATGGAGTCGGCTCATTTGAGTATGAATAATATAAATAAAAGTGTTGTTATTCTGTACGCTGAATTTCTCCCAAGTCAAAGATGAATAGAAATTATCTAAAATAAGTGAAAAGATATAAATAACAATTAATATTTAAATAACTCCTCAACGATGATTTAACATGTTTTTGTTTAAAGATATGTTTGGATGGGATTGTTTCATCCTTGATTTTATGGATGAAATAGTTCCATTGTATGTTTAGTTGAGAGGGACGAGACCATTCTTGTTCACCGAGCAAAGCTCCGGTGCCTCCATTCTGGTGAGCATCAAATGTTACAGCGCAATGCCCACATTTTCTTCGGTGAGCACGTCGGCATATCCGATCGCTATCCAACAGCTCAGCCAAGTGACAACCTCTGTAGAGCATCTCTCCAGAAAAAGCACTGCAAGCACTCTAATGCTCGTTTGGAGAGTTCTAATGAATACAAATCAATTGTACAGAAGCTCTTCTCTCCCTCTATGTAAGCATGCCAACTCCAATTTATTTTCCTGAACAAAAAAGCCTTAAGCTAGCATTTTTAGAGGATTTTGAAAAACATTTTCACTTGCATCTCACCGCGTTGCTAGGTCTATAATATATGGAAGTTAATTATCATCCAATGACACTAATAAACTATGTTAGCTTTAGAGTTCCCCTCTTAACAATACGACTATATATTCTAACCTGACCATACACTCTATTGCAACTCGACCAGTGAAATAAAAACCCCTAGCATATATATTTTGCCTCCGGGCTTGTTTTCATCTCCTTCTCTCCATGGGTAAGCACTTTGCTTTATATGGCTTGATTTTTATCTCCATCACTATCATGTGAACTCTAGTTCAATCATAACTTAGAAAACATTAGTCCGCTAGTTGTCACCTAGTTACTAAAATCAAAACTTGAGGCTTTCAACTATTTGGTAGAGCTCTTTGGAGCTGATTCTCCCTTAGAATCACTCTTTATCAACCAAACAACAGAACTACATATAGATTACGGTGGAAAGCACACAAGAATCATTTCTCTATTTACACTGGTATCTGAGAGCTAAAAACATGTTACTCATTGCTCAATGTTCATCAATTTTACCAAAATTACTCCAAAATCAATTCTCTCCATACCATACATCCACCAAAATCAATTGAAATCACTCCACCAGAAAAGTCAATAAGCTATAGCTAAGAATAAGAGAGTAGAGTTCTATCAATCATACCCAAAAGGGGGCATTTGACAAGCCTCATTGGAGCTAATTCTCCCTAAGAATCACTCCTCTTCAGCAGTAAAACTGTGCATATATTATGGTGGAGAGCAAACAATAATCATTCTTCATCTACACTCAGAGTTAAAAAAAACCCTACTCCTCGCTGCTGCCTATTTAATCCCCACTAAAATCACTCTAGGAAAATTCTTACCTACTCTCTACTCTTCTCCGCCACTAAAAAAACTTGCTTCTCCTTGCTTCCTATTTAATCCTCACTAAAAATCACTCTAAATTAATTCTTATCTACTATTATCCGTCTAAAATTAAGGGTCTGTTTGAGGTTGTTGTATTCCACGTTTTTTTATTCTGCTCTATGTTTTTCAGCCAAATAAGTGCAACCTCCACCAACTCTGCTCTAAGAAAAAAAAAACAAAGTTGTGAGAGCATACGAATGGATGATTCATAAACTTCATTTTTGTGGAACTGCTCTACCTATAGTCCCAAGCAAATTCTAAGTAAAATGACTTTACTAGAAAATTAAGGAGCAGAGTAAAAAAAAAAATCGAGGCCTGAGTTCCCCACGGTAATCGAGATTGGGGTCCATTGCCATCTTTCTCGTGATGTTGCTCCCCCTCAGCCTCAGCCCTCAGGTCCTCAGCCTCTCCTGCTCTCCTGCCTCGTTGCCCGTTTGCCGTCTCCGTCTCGCCCACCTACCTAGAGGAGGACGCGGCGAGATCTGCTCGCGCCCGCGCCGAGGTGAGGAAAAATTTCACCTCCCGACCCAACTCGGCAAAAATTACAGAGACCTGCCACTCCTTCCTTTCCCAGGCCCAGGCGCCTCTCCTTCCCAGGCGTGACAGAGACGGACTGGTGCCGCCTCGCCGGTGCTTGGTGCTCCCAGCCGAGCGCGCCTCCTCCGGATCCTGCGAGGACGGCGCCCAAGCTCCCGGCGCTCCCTTTCGCATCCCTGCTGCGAGCCGCCGGGAGGAGGTCGAGCCGTCGGTCGCCGGGGAGAGTTGGAGCCGCCAGGCCCCTTGATAAGGTAGATCCGCCGGCAGAGGACCTGCTGGGGTACCGCGCACCGGCCGCCGGGCTCCGTTACATGGTCCAGCCGCCGGCCGTTGGGATCGGATGCATTATTTTCTAAACTTTTTATTTGTTATTACATCTGCTAGGGTTTTGTTCCGAGATGTCGTCGTCGGGGAAGATGGAGGGGCCGTCTGCCCCGGCAGTGCGTCGGGACCCCTACGAGGTGCTCAGCGTGCCCAGGGATTCCTCCGACCAGGAGATCAAGTCCGCCTACCGCAAGCTCGCACTCAAGTACGGTCTCAGTGGTCATTTTCGTTTGCTGTGCTGCTTTGATTTATGTTGTAGTGGAAGAGAGGAAAACCCAGATGCTACTACTCCATTAGTTTACCATAGGGCCTGTTTGGCATAGCTCATAGAGCAGCTTCCAGGCTAAATCAATGAAGAGCTCTGCCAAACAATATGTTAGTGAGAAGTGGGTTCTTTCTGAAGTGATTGTTTGAAATAAACTCGAATGTTAGGAACTGAAAAAAAAGAACCCTTCTCCTAATTCTCTTTCCACACAGAATCACTTTTTATGTAGAATTTATCTTAATAGAGAATCACTTTCGGCCAAAGAATCACATCCCACAGAGAATCTTGAGCCGGAGGAGCTCTATTAAACAGGCCCTACAGTATCTGGGTTAGTTGGCAGTTCGGAACAGGGAAAGTCACGTGGCATTTGTATGCAAATACTACCGCACCACTAGATGCGTGCATATGGTTCAGTTTGTGCTTGATTCTTGGTACCTGAAAATGGCCTTGATCTTAAAAGTTATGAGCAATGAACTAATGAGTTAGCTACGAAATCTGTCTCTAATTATTTCTAACTCTCATTGTGAGGTGCACTCAAATGATAAATTTTAGTTCCCACATCTGCTTCTTGATGAGAAAGCAGTAAAAACACATCAACGATAACCTTTTCAATTGAATACAAAGAACATTTTTCAGGCTTCAGATGGATATGTTTCATAGCATTTAATAATGCCATTCTTATTGTGTTGAGTAGTTCCTATATTGATCGGCAGATATCCCTTTAAGTTTTTGTTTATGTGAGTTTAAAACTGCTGTTGCTTTTCATCAAACGGTGCTTATCTGAACAAAAAATAATGGGTAATATTATGATTTCCTCTGTCTTCATATATGTTATTATTCCTGAAAAAAAATGCATGTACTGGTTTAGTTATGCCTGTTATCATTCTAGATAGAATATACAACATGAAAAGAATTGCAAGCAGAAGTGTTACTGCTCCACAGAGTGCAATAGGAATCACTGTGAATATCTTGTCTATCCGAGCTCCTAATAAACCTTAGTAATCGCTATTCACTTGCTGTTCACACCATGTTGAGAGTGTATGATAATGGCCATTGTAACTGATGCTTTTTGTTAAATGTTGGATCTATATATGTATACTCATTTACATTCCAGACAATAGCAATCATTCCATAAACTACAAAGCGTAAAAAAATTATAGGTAGCAGCAGTAAATGGACTTATATTTTCAGATCAACTTAGAAATCGATTTAGCACCAAAGCCAGTCAACCAAGTTGACGAAATCGTCAAGCATTTTTCTTCTGCTCTGCATCACAGTCGCTCCCACACCACTGTGCACTTTGTGACCCTTCACATGAGAGGCGAGTGGTTGTGGTGAAACTAATGGGATGGAGTGAACACATGTATCTATAACCACTTAAATCTTTTAAATACTTGGTGTTTTGTGTACTTGATGACCCCAATTTTTTATAAGCTGTAATAACTGAGAGAATCCAGCCTATAGCTTTTTATAAGCTGGGTGGTTGGATAGTTCGAAATGGCTATAAGCTGAGGTGTTTGGATGGGCTTCAGCTTATTTTAGCGGCTGAAATAAGCCCATCCAAACAGGCCCATAATCTGTTATGTGTACATGTGAGTAGACCTTTTTGTAGAACATTGCCCTCTCATATATGTTGTGCATAGCCGGCAAGATTTGGGCATGCTTGGTTCTTGCTCGACATGTCGCTTTGCCTCGCTGAGTGAGGAAATCAATGGGAATGATCGTTTGGTGATGGGCAAGAATGTCTTGAGGCCTGTGCTGGCGAGTTTTGGTTTGCTTGCTCAGCAGAGTGATTTTAGCTTGCCTGAACCAGCAAGGCAAGCCTTGCTCATGTGGGCAAGGCGAAGAAAAACTAGCCAATGAACCAAACGTGCCCTTTAATGCTACTGTCCCTTTGTGGTGATATGATTATGCATCCAGCTATGATGTAGTTCCATGGTCTTAAAACATCAGATAATGTCATTCCATTGCATCCATCTTATTAGGGAATTATTTCTTCTATTTGCATAGTTCTTGCTATGCCTGCACCATGTAGCGTTGATGGATCCCTACCCTATTGGCTACTGTAGATTGATCATCACAATTCTTATCTTTGTTGATAGGTACCACCCTGACAAGAATGCTAGCAACCCAGAAGCATCAGAACTCTTCAAAGAAGTTGCATATTCTTATAGCATCTTGTCAGATCCTGAGAAAAGGAGGCAGTATGATACTGCTGGTTTTGAGGTGCTGTTCTATATTCGTTGAATCTACCATACAATGCTGCACTTATTTTTTTATCAGACTATTTTGTTTTCTCTCTAATGCTTCTGTGGCCTTACATTTTTAGATCTGTTGGACAAAAGTTGCTAGATGCTATACCCCTTGTTTCAACTGTTATTTTAGCCCCAAATGTGTCAAAAAAATTGAGATTTACTTAGTCAGCATTGTTTTAGATAGACCCCAGCATCCTTGGGCACCCAAACTCTTCAAGCATGTTTTGTGAGTAGAAAGATCTATCAATAAGAATATATACACCTATAGATGTACGGATTGCATCTTCTGTTACCCTGGTCACCATGTCGTGTAGTCATTTACTTTCCCCTTTCCTTTTTTCTTTTGCTCAGCCCTACGTCTTATATTTCCCCCTTTTTTTTCTCAGCTTCAAAGGCCCTACGTCTTCTATTTCCCTTTTCTTTTCTCAGCTTCAAAGAAGAATGCCCATGTTGTCAAAAAAAAGGGAGGATGCCCACCTACTGCCTCACTGTTCACAGCCCTCTATTTTACCTACTACCGCACTGTTCACATCCATCCATTTTTTTTCTTCTCCTTTTTCTTTCCTCATCTGTGTTCCACATTAATTCTCAACACAGTTTACCACCCACTGATGTAGAAACACACGTTCTTAAATTAGATAACAGTGCGAAGAGATCTTTTACATTGTACAACAATTAAGCCCTACATTTTCCTATGCAACTTATACTTAAACGTAAGAGACAAACCATCACACAGAGAAACGTGGGGTAACTTGCTATGGTGAAGCGTTGCACAATAATCCCCACCGATAATCGTGTCACTGGCTACTGTAGCAAACACCTACTTTTAGCTCTTCCTTACCTATCAGGTGAAAATCGTTGCACAATAATCCCCACTGATAATCGTCTCATTGGCTACTGAAGCAACACCCTTTTTTGCCTCTTGCTTACCTACCAGGTGAACAATAAGCATGTTCGACACTTAGATTAGTACGAACAGATCTTCTACATGGTATAACAGTTAAACATTACATTTTCCTATGCCATTTACACTTAAAATTTAGAGAGAAACCATCCCGCACCTAAACGCGGGATAGCTCGCTACATTTCAGCGTGCGACAATAATCCTGCATCGGTGATCGAGAACAGATAACATGATGGATAAGTCATGTGTGGCTGGTCTTTGTGGGGCTGTTGTTGCTCACATGGTCCTTGTGGCTGTTTTTCTGTTTTTAGGACAGCATCTTAGACTAGAGGATAGCATCTTAGAGGACAGCATCTTAGACTAGAGGACAGCATCTTAGCTAGGACAGCATATTAGCATCTTAGACTAGCATCTTGGCATATGCTTGGCTGGCTAGCAGCCTATAAATATGTAACCCCAACCCCTCAGGTTGGTATGGCATTTGTGTGAGCTTGTGTGAGAAATAGACAAGAAAATTGCCCCAACTCCTAGTGTCATCCTCTCTCGATGAGAGTAAGAATTCTCCTACTACCAAGAGTGAGAATTCAGCGACTAACATAACAATAATTGTTCACAAACAATAGATGTCCCCTAAAACTGTACCTCATTTATTTCACATTTATGCTACTTCTCATGTTCTTCACTTTAAGTGTATACAACTACAATTGACGTCCCGCGGCAACGCGCGGGGGCCCGACTAGTTTTGTATAACATTATGAATTTCTTGGGTCCATCAATGATTCTTTGTGTAAATTAATTAATTATTTTTTTGTCTTTTTATGTGATGAAATGTTTTTTTTCTCGAACGTATGTGATGAAATGTTACACAGGGAGATGCTAATATTATCTATGTAATTGTAATTACTAGGTTGATAATGGGAAATGTTAGCACCAGTTCATGGCAGTTGAAAATTCTCTAATAAATCCACCTTTCATTGGATTTATAAAATTCTACATTTCACTTGCGGCTTAGGAATAGTATAAGTCGGAAGTAAAGCCTAGCCAGCATCAGTCACCAGTTGTCATATGTGTATCTGTTTGTGGGCAAGTCTGGTAAAGAAAGCCCTGCTTCTGCTTCTATTTTCTACTCTTGTAGATCTCATCAAGGTGAAGATAAGCGAGGGAAAATTGAGCAACAAAAGAGCGCCAGAGGTGCCCATTGTGTGCCATTTGTTAGATGGATAGGAGATGGAAACATGGTGATGGTTGAGAAATATGAAAGTAAGGCTGAAGATCAATGTAGAGTGTAGGGAGGAGGGTAAATACTAAATAGGTAGTGGTTGGACCATGGGCTTGAATTTCACATGCCTTGTCTTAAATAAAACTTTCTAATATATTCTTATTTAGTTGTCTAGTCATTGATTGAGAAGCATCTTGCCGTGCCAGAGCCTCAATGGCAACCTTGTGTAGCACAACAATGATAAATTGGTACTTAGGCTACTTGTTTTTACCTGACCAAATCTCATTTCGGGATAAATTATGCCTGGTAATGATTGTAACCAGTTGTTTGGAGACTATTTTTTTTTCTCAAACTAGACCATCAGGGAAGCATAATTAATTATGGCATTCCACAATTACATGATTGCTGTGTTTCCATTATTTAGCATTGGGATAAATCTCATTGAAATTGAGATTAAGTTTTGAGAGACCCTTGTTGCATTTACTGTGTCAGGCATTAGAAAATGAAGGAATGGATATGGAAATTGATTTGTCCAATCTTGGAACTGTAAACACAATGTTTGCAGCACTCTTTAGGTAATTGTGGAATCAGTTAGAATTATTATTTCTAGAAGTAACCAAAGGTCCACAGTTTCACTTTACTAATAAATTTAACTACTTATAGCAAGCTTGGTGTTCCCATCAAGACCACAGTATCTCCTACTGTGCTGGAAGAGGCTATGAATGGCACAGTTACAGTGAGACCACTCCCTGTTGGAACATCAGCTACGGGAAAGGTTCTGATACTACCTGTTCTTGTGAGAAACATCTACAATGTGGTCGTTATCTTATACCTTTTTTATTTGTAGGTTGACAAGCAATGTGCTCATTTTTTTGGCGTAACAATAAGTGAAGAACAAGCTCATTCTGGAATAGTCGTCAGAGTGACTTCACCTGCTCAAAGTAAATTTAAGGTACGAGGTTGATTTTTTTCATCATAAAAAGCCTTGCTGTTTTCTTTTGTTCCTTCTTCATTTTCTTATTTGTTTAATGCACAGCTTCTTTACTTCGAGCAAGAAGTTAATGGAGGTTATGGACTTGCTTTGCAGGTAATTTCTAATTGTGCTACTGCATTGTTGATATGCCTTGTTAGACTGGTATATTATTTTTCAATAGGATGGCATCCACTATAGATTATATCGTTTAATCCCCATTTTGTGGATCTGTGTATTTTAACTGAATGTATGTTCTAATAACAAAGAGATCGATAACTCTAGAGTTTACTGTAGTGAAAGAAATCTTGAATATAGGTTTTTAGAGAACGTGCAGCCTCTATCATCATTATCATTATACCAATGTAATTTTGATACATTTAGATGCATTCAAGGAAAGAAGTGCTACACAACCTGCCATTTTCAAGCCAGCTAAGCTAATAGCCTAATACCATGTCATTAAAATAAAATTACTACCACCCATATCGTTTGCTTTCCTCTAGATGTGTTAATGTACTATGCCAACTTTCTAAACACATTTCAGGTGTAATGTTATGATTTCTGTTTTACATTTCAAGACAGATGTGATCCTTGATCCAATTGGCATAGGAATTTAACTTAAGAACAAAATTCAACATTTTCTCAAATGAATGACACTGATTTAGTCACTTATTACTCGTCTTATATGTCTTCATTGTTCATAGATGTGACATGGATTACTTGTTTCACTTTTGTTTTAGGGCTTTGGGATATTTTCTCTATCTTTTTCTTCGTTTCATTTACATTTCTTGTCTGCTGGGTGTTGTGTGAAAAATGTGATGAAAAAAAATACTTATTTGGTGAGGTAGATGAAAGATGCTTTTGAACTTCTGGGATTCAATATATATTGCACATTGTTCTTCAGGAACTGAGAATATAACACTATGCAGCACTAAGGAAATTTGTTTTCTAGTGCTGCTACTAATTTTGCATTGATATTTCTAAGATCATGGTCGGTTTTATAGTACAATTGGATAATGGTATAGCTGTTATTTGATCAATTATTCTCCAGTTCTCTATTTTGTGTATGTTTATTGGTACATTTCGGATAAGAATTTAAAGAAGACTTCCATTCAGAGTTCTAGTTTAATGTCATCTTCAGCTTTCCCTTTGACCTTCAGGAAGATAGTCAAAAGACTGGCAAGGTGACATCTGCAGGCATGTATTTCTTGCATTTCCAGGTGTACCGTATGGACTCAACAGTGAATGCGGTATGTAATTCTTTGTGTGCTGTTAGTTATTCTGTGTATCATAACTGATTTTTAGATTTTTTTTTCTCTCTTACAACTACAGTTGGCAATGGCCAAAGATCCTGAAGCTGCCTTCTTTAAAAGGTTGGAAGGCCTCCAACCCTGCGAAGTGTCAGCTCTCAAACCTGGAACCCATATATTTGCTGTCTATGGTGTGCATTCTTGCCGTCTGCCCATGTCTAACTCTCTATCTGTATTGGAGGCATTTCTTTGCCCTGAGCCATCCTAATTGATTTGTGCAGGTGACAATTTTTTCAAGCCAGCTAGCTATATAATTGAAGCGATGTGCGCAAAGAGTTATGAAGACACAACAGAGAGGCTGAAGGAAATAGAATCTAAAATTCTAGCAAAGCGAAATGATCTGCGTCAATTTGAAACCGAGTACAGAAAAGTCAGTCACTAAATTTTCGTTTTGTGATTAATCATATGTGTTTAGGTGTGCTTCTTCATTTGAAGAAAGAATTGACTTATTAATATGGCTTTCAGGCTTTGGCACGGTTTCAAGAAGTCACCAACAGATATACACAAGAGAGAGAAGCGGTATGCATATATGCCCCTCACCCTGTCTAGATATGTTCTATCGCAAAATAATATGTACCTGCTGCCCTAAAAAAATCCAGTGTAATTGAGGGTCACCCTAGTGCCAGATGCCCAGACTGCATTAGATATTTAGTTATATAATGGTACATATAGTTAGTGCCTATGTCATTGATGTAGTGGTTTGTGGGTCCAAACAATAAAACTAGAGGTAAGTCACACTAAAACATAGATAGGCTGCTATAACTGTTAGGGAAGAATGACCTTACAAACTCAGTGTAGGTTACAAGTATACATTAACATTAACAAGAGTACAGATAGGCCTACATGAGCCACAAAATAAGAGAGAAGAGTATTATACATCAACATTAACAAGAGTTCAGATAGGCATAATTCAAGTGCTTTTACAGCTCAAATTTTGCTTAAAGTGTTTAGCAAACGTTTCACCTCCTTAAGGCATAAAAGCTAGTGCATGGAAACATGGAAATAATATCACCTTGTCCTTGCTGTTACTTTTTGCGGATAGTATTGGCGCTTTGTGTTAACTGGTTGAAGTTTGTGTAAAGATGATCCTTGTAGGTATTATGCTACTTCACCTAAAGTGCTGAACATTTAATACGAGCAAATAAATTTTCGAATATGAGTAATTATTGGGTGTTAACTTGTTAAATCTGTTTAATAGTCATGAACTCGTATTAATTTTGTAATACCTTGAATATGGGGGGTATACCTTGACAAGAAGGTTGTCCGTGACATTTGATATAAGCGTTTGTCAGAACATTCTCTTAAGACTATTGACAAATTATGCCCTTTCTGGATTTGATATGAACAAATGTTTATATGTGTTGCTAAAGAGTTACAATATCTACAGGTTGATGATATGCTGAGAGAGAGGGACAATATCCATTGCTCGTTCACAACTGAGCGAACTTTGGTAAACCCTGTTGGTGCCGGTAGTAGCAGTAGTAGGTATACCGTCGAGCAGAGCATTCCCGAGAGCCCTGAGAATGGTAGCGTAGATGGCAGAGACAAATCTGGCAAAAAGAAGTGGTTTAATCTAAACCTTAATAGGTCCGACAAGAAAGCCTGATGAATCATTCGCCAGAAGCGTCATGTGTTTTCACTTTGTTGTACATTTTGGAAACCCTATTGTATTCATGCCTTATGAGCTTTTTAGTTCCCAGTTCTCTGGGAGTTTTGTAGCATATAGGAGTTTTGGGTACAGCATTTTATTGTCATGTATTATCCTAAGTGACTCCATTACCCCCATGCCTCAGGCAAAGTTGCGTCGACATCCGAATTTGTGCAATCGCCTACCAAGTTATTCTATCATTGTTATAATTTCTTCTATCATTTTTAATGGTGTTTAGCCCTTTCTTTTTTTTTCTTTTCTTTTTTTGCCGAAGACCACGTTTTTTTTAACTAAAATAATAAAGCTTGACTGGAAAGCTGCCACTGCATTTGCTATGGGCACTGAACTTCGTCCTGTACGCTTGGGTCTCTCAAACTAAATCAACCGAACAAAAATAAGCCTAAATGAACGGGGCGCTTGTTCCCGGTTCCCAGAGCAGTTCGTGTGGTTCTCTGTGCTGTACTCCCTCTCTCAAAATAAAGTCTCTATCTTACATCTCGAGAAGTCAACTAATTTTAACTCTGTCTAAATTTATAAAAAATAGTATCAGCATTTGTATCTTAAATATGTTTCTTATAAAAATACAAGACATGATTAATTTAACAATGCTTATCTTGTATCATGAATATTGGCATTTTCTTTGGTGTATATTTGATCAAAGTTAAAATCATTCTCAGGTTGCGAGTGAAGACTTATTTTAGGACAGAGGGAGTATTCAACTTATTCTATTGCTTTGTTCCATGTATAATACCCTTAAACCCGCTCGCTTACTATCTCTTTTTGAGTCTATCTTCCCTCTCCCTCGCCATAATTTGGGCTTTGATGACACTCATGATGTCATCATGTATTGTTCAATCGACCTCTCCCATTGTTCTATTTTGTCTTGGACCGTGTGGCAGAACCGTCTAATCTAATGTCTTCCAGGAGTGCTGGTCTTCCATTAGACACTAAGCACTTAGGGGAGAACACTAAATTACTCGGTTCTAAAAATCCACCTTTTTGTCATCAAGATCATAAATGAGAGAATAAAGCTTATATCATTCTTAACCATTTCTTACATCACTTTTAATACAACATCAGAGTATAATATTTATTCTTATAACAGCGGAATGTAATCATATTATCAGAGTTATGAATAATTTAATTTAACAGCGGAATATAAACATGTGATCATAATTACAGCGAAAATAAATACCTATTCATGAAATGATGAAACATTGATATATAAACTATGACAACAGATTATAAAACTTTTATTTATAAAAATATTTGGTGAGAGTTATAAACGACAACTACGATCACAGCGTAAAAGAATCCTCGCTGAGCCCACCAGGAGGTATCCACACACAAGGGTCAGCTCTAGCATCCACCTGTTACCTGCAACAGGGGGAATAAAACCCTGAGTACTCAATTGTACTCAGCAAGACTTACCCGACAGGAGAAAAGAAAAGACTCTAAGGATATGCAAGGCTATCTGGCTTGTGGGTTTATTGCATTTGCAGGAAGCATTACTAAGCGTGCGTCCTTATATTCGATTTTTATTAATAGCCGCATTGGTTCATTAACTAACCATTCTATGTAAGCACCTGTGCTACTTTCAAGCAGGTGGTAAGCAATCAGATTTCCTTTTTCCATCTTCCATCTTTCATCTTTCAGTTCTTACTACGGTGCTAGAGTTAAGACAAGCCGTACCGACTCGGCGGCGATTTGCAAACCAATGTCCCCAGCTGGGTACCCCGAAAACACACGCCCCGCTTGTACCCCGGGCACAAGCAGGACCAACCCATCACCCTCCTATCCTAGGTGTCTAGGTCCCCGTCCAAACTGGGACTCCAAGCCCTCGCCCCTGAATTTCGGACTCAGTGCAGTGCAAGGACCTCCTAACCTAAAAACCACCAAGACAGTCGGAAGAGCCGAATCCATGACAAGAGACCAACAAGTCTTCCAAGCGCCCATACACAAGTATGTGCTCGGGATAATAGATCTGTGACTTGACTAGCGTCCATTGCAACGATCGGTTCTTAACCGACACAGACAGAGAAAACGGTGTAACCAAGCTATGCCCCGCGTCCACGGCGACACAACCTCTTACACACACCAATACCCAAACCATATCCCTGCCCGGTCACAATTTTCCTTTCCACCATTTATATTTTCCATGTAATAATGATCCAATAATATATTTCCTATCTCTCGCGAGTGACAACCATCACTCGACTTCTGCCGAAGTCCTATAGCATAGCAATCTACACGATCCCGTCACACTAGTAAGACTTATAGGATAAAGAGATATATATGCAAATGGGTTTCATTCAACTCCTTAAAACTTAATGTACAAATATAATTTAAACTGTAGAAAAGTAGGGGTTATGCACCGGGGCTTGCCTGGGTAAAATGTAACCAAAAGTTAGTATTTGCATCTTCAGATCATCCACATCATCTGAATAGAAAGCCCATCGCATCATCTCCTAGAGAGAATACCATCACACCCTCTGCAGATTCCCACTCATCCTTCACTTGATCCGTTGATCCATCATCGTACCTATATGATATGCAATGTGATGTAATGTAAAGACGTAATTAATCGACTGCAATCGTGACTCATAAAATATAATTTATGCCTCTCAAGTTAACAGGCTAGTTCTAACGACGACCGTACTTAGGCTACATATCCGTTATCGGATAAGGCGTTAATTCCCAACAATCATTTTAGTTATATAAACCAAGGTTGTTTCTTTATTTCATTCTATCGATTTAATCATTATTCGAAATAGGGCATCATTATCTATCTAGCAAACCAATTATTCTGGAACTACAAAAACTACGGTGAGTACCTAATATTGCTAGGAGCCTACTGTAGAAATTTCAGATCCAACACTATTGCCAATTTATCAGAACAATTCCTACAAGTTATCTTTTTACAATATTAAGTACCCTAATTTAATTATATAGCTTCCAAGCATATTATCAAACTATGTGAACAAAATATACTAATAGGTAGATCATGATTTTAGGAGCCTAACAAAATTGGTTTTACCATTTATGGACAACTATACCGTTTTATATTGATTTTACTAGTTTATTTTCAAAAACTATTTTATCAATTACTTTACAAACTAAAGGACCAGCAACCACCCACTCAACCCATCGACCCGCTGAACCTGGTCCCATGGTCAAGGCGGCCCAGGCGTGGCGGAACAAGCCGGCCCAACGCGCGGCGAACGGCCCAGGCGAAGCACAGCGACCGACCGGCCCAGCAAGCGCAGATAGGCCGCAGCCCAGCAGAACCGACGCGGCCCGCGGCGTGGCGGCAATAGGCCAGACTAGTGACGGCCCAAGGCCAGGAGGCCCGCGCGCGCCATCGTTTTGCAGAAACGACCTTAGATTTCAATGAAATTAACCCATAGTCCTTTCCACCATTGCTCTCTTTCTCTGACGCTTTCACCCAGCCCCCAGACTTTCTCCTTATTCGAGCGCATCAGCCCCCGACGACTCCACGCGCGACGGCGCGGCTCCGGCTGGCACTGCCCCGCTGCGTCGGTCAGCAGAGTGAGGCATGGACTAAAGGAGCAGGCCGACGAGCACCGCGGAGCCAATACGAGACCCTAGGTGCCGATTAGGGACCGAACGGTGACTTCCAACGCTCTGACCACGCCAACGGACTACAAGCTATAGTGGTGTGACTGTTCCGGCGTCCTATGACCTCGAAGACTGAAACGAAAGGATGGTAGAGCAGCAGGACCTTACCCCGGACACGGCTACGGTATCGAATGGAGCGAAAACGGCCCGTGCTATGATGGCCACGTGCACGGTGAAGGGCGATGGCGCTCTGAGCGTGGCGCGGCCGTGTCAGCTCGTCGCCGGTGAAGGTCCTAACCAAGCTGAGGCGAGCACCAGATAGAGGAGGTTAAGACGAGTTAGAAATTGCATTCGATTGAACTGCTACCGCTGCGTGGGCCTTACCCCCAAACGTGCTCTGTAATGGCGGCGGACAGACCGGCGGCGGCGGCGATGCTACGCGCGCGCACTCTGGTGGATGATTTCCATCACGGTTGACTGCAGTGGCCAGCTGAAAGGTCCTTGTTTAGTTTTGGTAATTGAGTGACAACCTAGGTGGACTAATTGTGTTTATGTGAGATACACATGTGATTAGTCCACAGGTACATGTGTGTGAGCAACATATGCCATGAAGGTGACAATGGCTTGGAGATGTTGCAAAGCTCACACATGTGATGATGAAGGAGCTTATTGCAAATGAGACATGACATTGAGTCATGTGATCAAGGTGGAGAAGATCAAGACAAGACTTGGCTTGATGGATCGGTTGCAAGCGTGAAGGGCAAGTCGGAGGCTTTGGAGTGATGGACCGCGTGGCGGTGAAGCTTAAGCAAGATTTGGCGCCGATTGACAATGGCAACGGTGAAGAGCAAGTGAAGTCAAGATCGATGAACCAATATGATCATGTGATGATATGAAGTGGATCATATCATTGTTGATCGTGTTGGTGCATGTGTTGCATCGACGTTGGAGATGGAATGGAATGCGCCAGGCAAAGGTATAACCTAGGGCATTTTATTTCACCGGTCATAGGTGTGTAGAGAAGTTTATGACCGGGTTTATGATAGATGGCCGTACTATCAAGAGGGGCAAACTTGTTTGCATATCGGTCATCTAGTGCCACTCGAGTGATCTAACTTTGCATCGTTGCTAGGATCGAGTGGCGTGGCAAGTTGAGTGGCTAATCCTTTGGAAAATGATTGTGAAAATGCTAACACACATACACATGGTGGTGTACACTTGGTGGGGTTGGCACATTTACAAAGGACATGAAGTTAGAGTTAATGTGGATCAACTCGGTGAAGAAATGGAGGTCACTGGAAGTGACCAGACACTGGTCTCGGTTGGACCGGTGCGTCCGGTCAGTGGTGGCAGGCAGCGTGCAGCGTCGGTCAATCGAT